GGTTTTCGTGTAAATGAAATCTCTCGTATCCACTGGTCTCAACACCTCCTCACAATACAATCAGAGTGGCCTAATTGACGAGTTACTCGCCTAGCTGACCACTCAGCTTCCATCATGCCGAGCCGTGTAGGAGAGCGATGAACGTTAAATCTGTCGAGAGCTCAAACGTCCTGCCGTTGGTGTGGTGAGGTAGTTAGGAGAGGGGGTGCCAGCTCAGGTGTCATCCAAGTCACTTGACCATGGTTCAAAACTATGTGGTCCGTCACCAAAAGCCATTGTGTAGCTAAACAGTGCGACGTTAATATTCACTCACTCCATCATGCCAATGATTTTCCCTCTCTCAAACTGCGACAGCTGTTCATATTGTCTTCAAAAACGGCATAATGGCAAGTCTATCGCAGCTCTTCCATTGTAAACGATTCAGCACACTCAAACAAGCTTTGATTATCTGTTTTATACTCCACGGAGAACGACGTTAAACGCCCTCTACCGGCTATACGTAATGCACAACGACCCCGTATTTCTAATCATTTGCTTATCTCCCCGACATGTACCTCCAGGCCAAGTTTCGTTACGATCCCACAATTATTTTATTGTGCGTTAATCGTTTTGTCAATGAGTGTATAAAGATATTTTAAAGCCCTGCATGAGGCTTTTCAGAGGGATAGGAACGCTGGCTTTAGGGCATGAGAAACCGGAACCCTGCCCAGGGAGGGCGGGAATTTGACATTTGGATCGAATTTGAAACATTTTTTATTGTTACAAAATATTTAATATATTATCTGAAATAATATTGGGTATGAATTAAGTATTTCATTCAACGTATCTTATATACTTATTTTATACTTTGTATGTGTTTAACGTCTGTTTCCTTTTATGTTGAAACTTGAAGGGTTCGAGGCAGGAGTATATGTAAAATCATGACATTTGATATGTTTACTCATATTTCACTAGTAACTTTCTCTTTAGCCCAAAGAGGGGCCACAACGGACATTTCTTTCACCCATACGATGTCCGGTGTCAGCTATCCAAGAAGGGACAGGAGTAATAAGAGTTTTTGTTAGATAGAAAGCAAAATGAGATGTTTCATTTTAGTCTTGAGTGTAGTTACTATGTTAAAATAAAAGCTTGTGAGATCCCCACCATCAGTAGATTCTTTTTCGAAGAAATTGTCCGGTTGAAATGGGCGACTCCTTCTTTTACATTTTATTCGTTTGAAGTAATAACAGGTAATTATATCCATAATTTCAAATTATTTTGTATTTTTTTAAGATTATATATATATATATATATATATATATACTGTCGAACCTCCATATTACGATCCTCTATGTTGCAAATTTTTCTATATAGCGAACTTTTTCTTGGAACGAGGAACATTTCACAATTTTCTTCGTAAAATAACCTCCCAATAGCGAAATGCATTTTCTATCTAACGAACTTTTTCTAATCTAATTCAATTTTTTTCCTCCCTATTTTTGAAGTATTTCTGAACATTTCAAGTTATTCTCTCTTTTAACACGTTTTATGGTGATCATAAATGTTGAATTGGTTTTATTGTGTGCCTAACTTGCCTAGAACAATATAATTGTGGGCGTTGCAACCTTTAACCTCCATTGTCCAGTTCACTAGAAGCATGCATCAAAGCATTTTTTCAAACAAAAAACTAACAAAATTAACAGATTTTTTGAGTAATTAAATTTAAGGATGCATGGGGTAATATATGTTTAGATTTTCGAGGAATATTAAAATAAAGAATGTTTAAAATTACTTGTATACTTAAAATTCGTTAATTTTAATATATAGTTATTTTACTAATGCTAAAAATACAGTGCATTCCTCTAGATTTTTTTTCGTGTTTTCCTTGCATCTTTTCTTTCTTTTCTTTTTTTGATGGGTAAGATATGTATAAAATAAATATAGATATTGATTTACAAAAAGGTGTGAGAGAGACTAATTACGTTTTTTCAATATATTGTGACTATGAATTTAAAATTTATTTTATTTTGTTTGTTAAGTATATTGATAGGTAAAACGCTATTTAACAAATTTTCCATATAACGAACTTTTTTCGGAATTGATTGACACCTTGTTAAATAGAGATCCGACTATATATATATAAATTGTTATGCTGTCACTTTGGGGAGAGGAGCACCATTTTTGTTCGCAGTAGCAAAACTGCTAGAGCCAGTCTGCACACAGTTAGCATCCACCTGGATACATAAAGCCCACCCACACAGGACTCTGTTTGTCGACGAAAAATTAAGACTGAGAAAATTCAAGAGAAGGAGTGACAAGCCAAATCTCATGATATAAATCTCATAGAGAATGTCTGGGATACTCTTGGCAGAGCAATCACAGCTTATCAGCCTATTCCCAAAACACCACACATTTTTTTTCTCTAGTTTGCTACTCGTAAATAAATTCTTTAAAGCAATTTTGTGCTGACTTTCTGAAGAATTTTTTCAAAACATATTGAAATATATTTGCGAAATATATAATAAAACAGGGTGAGCCAAAAGTCTTGCGCTGATTATAAACATGTATTGTACTCAAACTATTGTAATTAGGCATATGTTCGTTTGAGTATGTTGTAAATACTGTTATGAAAATTTTTATAAGACCATTGGTCTAAGTAAATCGCAATGTGTGCCCCTTTGGTAGATTGAAAAATGTCTAAGCGGTATTCCAGTTCAACACCATGTGTTCATAAACGCATCTTCTGTTTTTCCGCCTGTTTCTTCAAACATTTCATATCATCGCTTTATTGATTGTGCATCATGACGTCCATACGATATCGAAATTTACGCTGAACATTAATAGGCAAATTCATTTCAGGAATCAATGCCATTTCGTTCGAAAATAATGTCTTCCTTACAAAAACTCTGAGAATTCTCCCTGGAAGGATCACTCGCATCATCTATTGCACAAAGAAACTATTCTAACTGGCCGATTTAGTCATATAAAGAAGCATTGTTGTGTATAAAACAGTTATTTTGTGATGATATTTTACTATTAGGGAAACACTTTAGGTTCACCTAGAGTGATAACATTAATGTGTTTACTATTAATTAGCAGACTAGTATAATGCGTTAGTAATTTCGAAAGTAACTTTAATATTCATGATTTGAGATGTTTTCTTAAGATATCCGACTACCCTAAAATCAGAATTTTTTTTCAAAAATTGACAAATTTGTTTTATGATTTTATCTTACAGGCTATCTTATTAGCTTAATAAAAATACCAAACTTCTTATTTTCCATTCACTAGAACAAAAACTCCAAGTGTTTTAATAAAAGAAGATGCCATAAATTTACACAAGATGTCAAACTTTAAAATGCGTTTTACTCCAAATGTGTTTTTTCTTCGAAAAACTCAAACGAGGACCGCGATTGCTCAAAAAGTTTTGAAAATAATTTGCTGGAACTTTTGGTGAATGTTTTGTATAACAGTGGAAGTGTTTTGACTTTCAGATTTATCAATCACTATTTTATTTTAAAATTTATAGTCCGTTATGTGAATATAATCACTGTTTTTTTAAGCAATTTCATATAGTCACCAAGATAAAGTGCTCCAGCTTTTGTAAAAATTAAAATATCTATTATCCTGAAGGTCATTTCAAACATGTCATTTGAAACATGAATAACAAATTAACACATTAAAATTTAAAAATTGAGAATTTGGTCAAAAAATTTTTGTACAGAGCGGGCTCCGTTTATATAATTTTTTGTACTTTTTCACCAGTTTTCCCCCTTATAATAATAATAAATTTTTTCTGTTTTCAGTTGTGCGATTTTTTCCTTAAAACATACTAAATAAATCTAAAAATCACAAAAACATCCCCATATCTCCTTTTTTTAAAAAAAAAAGTTCTCGCAAGTAGTCGGATACCTTAAACAACTGAATATCTCCATCTAAGTATCTTCAAACTCTAGTGAATTGCATAAATTCACTAGAATCTGAAGATACTCTGATTTCGTAACCATTCGCTCCACCAAAATTTATTTAGAGAACCCAAAGATTTGTCCTTCAAACAATAAGGAGTCGGTCCCTCCCCATTCTTGTTTCAGACGGGGTATTTCGCGAATTAATACCCTGTCAGCGTGTCGACGAACGCCGATTAGATTTGAACCTCTTTCCAGCAGATTGGACACGTTCTGCAGCGGTTTCCATTTTCGCCAACCCCTCCCATTTCCGCTTCCCCCTTCATTCGACGGTCATTTCGGACTTTTGGTACAGTGACGAGTTGAGCGCACAAAATTATTTCGAAAATCGAGATCCCTACTCTTCTGAAATTCCTCCCTATCAACTTATATTTTGAAACGGTTCTCTTTCGCTGGAAATCTAAATTGAGATATTTGATTTACTCAAGTGGAAGGATCCGACATAAAGTGTTCTGAAAACTTTCACTGAAATAAATCTATTTATCGCGCGTTTGAATTACATACTTCTTTAATCTTTGTATCTTGAAGTTTTCGCACTTTGATTCGAGAGTTTAGTATTTCTACTCGGGATAAAGTTTTTCAATTTTACGAACTTATTAATAATTAACTAATATACAATTATACTTAAGTGCAATATTAATCTACAGAATAACTGGAATATTGAAAAAAATTTAATATCTTTATTTAATAGTTTAAATATTTTGAATTTGTAACGGGTTCTATTCGGGCATCTGCTAATCTTCATGGGGAAAATATTCTTTTTCATTCCCTACTATTAGTTAACTCTCATCCTATATATATATATATATATATATATATATATATATATATATATATATATATCTTGTTCAAATTTTCAATCCCCGTTAGTAAAATATATACTTTCCATTCATCCATTCAAGTTCAAATACATTTTTAAAACTTGCAGAGAATGACACTTCATGTTAATAAGGTCTTTTCAAATTTTAATTCATTAATTAAATTAAAAAAATTAGTAAATACCAGCAAACAAAAAATAGTCTAATAGTCTATATAGAAAGGAAAATCGTTCGTTGTGTCCCTGTAGCAAAATGGATAGTGCATTAGACTTCTAATCCAAAGGTCGTGGGTTCGAATTCCACCTGGGATGGCCTAATTTCTGAGAATGTGATTTCTTTTTATTGTATAATTTTATTAGAATAAATAAATCTAATTGATAAATAAACAGCAACAAACAAAAATAATCCAACACCATATATATGGAAAGGAAAATGAAAAATTGCAACGAAAATCGCTTTCTATTTTGTCATTTAATATTTTGATTATGTCATACGTATATACATATTTATATTAAGTGTATCTATTTAATAAAAAGTAACTAAAATAAAATTTTTCTTTGTTAATGTATTCGACTACGTTCGGAACCGTGATTTTGCAAAAGCGTATAAATGGATAATATTTATGATATTTAGTGTCACTTAGATCAGAAAATGCATATAAAATTGTTTTAAGAATAGTATTACAGTAAAAAAGTATTTAAGTACAACATTTTCACAAAAAATGAACATAGAATGACCCATTTTCAAAATATTCTCCTTTTGTGAAAAATGCTTCTCTTAATAATACTGTTTTCCCTGTATATAGCTCAGACCTCTGTACAGAGGCTCAACTAGAATTTTTGAAATATATAACTTAGAAGTGGGTTTATCCATATTTTACGACCACAGAGGGGAGCAATTTTAAGAAAAAAAAAACGCCGACAACTCTTTCAATTGGTGGTAACTGAAAATAATATGAATTTTTCAAAATTCCTAGTTCAGACTATCTGGAGAAGTCTTTACATTATATAAGCGAAATATTATTATTTTAGAAGCAGTTTTATTAAAAAGGAGAACATTTTGAAAAAATTGTTATTCTAAGTTAATTTGTTGCCAAAATATTGCATTTAAATATTTGTTTTTGTCAAAATGTCCTTAAAACAATTTTATACATGTATTCTAATCTAAGTGACACTAAATATCATGAAACTTATCCATTTATGCGTTTTTTTAAAATCACGGTTCCGAACGTAGTTGGATACCTTAATCTAAATAGGAATTGACTTTAAAAAGTTGCTTTAATATTACTTGTTAACTGTGATCTTAATTAAAAACCGCTTTCCGTAGAGAGCGCTTGATTTTTCAAAAACTCAAACTTCTATTTAAGTGTTATTCGTTGAGTAAGCGAGAGTTGCTCCTAAGCTGAAGGCATAGTGTGAATGACCGACTATCTCCCTTCGTAATATTAAATTCAAAGGAAGGATTCTTAGAAAGGTGGAGTACGTCCACTTTACGGCTGACGACTTAACAAGTTGGGAGCAGGGGCGTGCATGAGAATAATTAAGATATTTCTATTATCTAATAGGGTTAATAAGTTTTATTTCTCCTCTGGTTTAGTTATCAGAGTGCAGTCTCATAAATTTTCATAATTGCTAAAGGCTGAATAAAAGTACTTTAAATTTAGATCATTTCTCTGTTTCTTACTCGAACCCTCTCACACCGCGAAAAATTGAAGAGTTTAAATAATTGGCAACATGAAGATCCCACTCAATATTGCATTGATTTTAATAAAATTAAGGTTCTATAAAATATGAAAGATTTAGTCCTAGGTCACGAAAAATATTACAAAATAGGAAAAATAGTTTTTAAATAGCAAGTTATTTATCTCAGATTGTAATTAAAAATGCATCCATAATGGCCTTCAAACTAATTAAATATTATCAATAAACCAAAAGCTGTTCCTCTAATGTTTGAGCAATGTTTTAAGCTGAATATATGTCCTAAATTTCTGTATAATTTTTTAATTTTATTTATATTACTTCGAGCGCAGAAATTTATTCTTCATACATCTTTTCAACAATAATTCATAATAAATAGAAAAAATTACAATTAATAAATTCTTAAATGCAAATTTATGTTTATTTTTTAGTTTCATTTATTTAAATAAAGGGTGTTTTTTTAGAGGTATAGAACTTTAAATTGCAATAAAACAACGATGTATTATTCGATTGACATGAATTTTTTTTTTTTATTCGAAAGATAATCTTGTGGCATTACATTTTAAATATGATTTCTGCATAGGACTGCCACGGCTGGCTCGGATGTAGTCCAATCTGGACGTCCCATTTTCGATGACTCTTTCCAACATTTGTGGCCGTATATTGGCAATAACACGGCGAATGTTGTCTTCCAAATGGTCAAGCGTTTGTGGCTTATCCGCATAGACCAATGACTTTACATAGCCCCACAGAAAATAGTCTAGCGGTGTTAAATCACAAGATCTTGGAGGCCGATTCACAGGTCCAAAACGTGAAATTAGGTGGTCACCAAACGTGTCTTTCAATAAATCGATTGTGGCACGAGCTGTGTGACGTGTTGCGCCGTCTTGTTGGAACCACAGCTCCTGGACATCATGATTGTTCAATTCAGGAATGAAAAAGTTAGTAATCATGGCTCTATACCGATCACCATTGACTGTAACGTTGTGGCCTTCATCGTTTTTGAAGAAGTACGGACCAATGATTCCACCAGCCCATAAAGCGCACCAAACAGTCAGTTTTTCTGGATGTAACGGTGTTTCGACATACACTTGTGGATTAGCTTCACTCCAAATGCGTCAGTTTTGTTTGTTGACGTAGCCATTCAACCAGAAGGGCGCATCATCGCTAAACAAAATTCGCGTATGAAAATCGGGAACAACTGCAATCTCGTTTTGGGCCCATTCGACGAATCTACCCCTTTGCTTGATCATATTTAAAATGTAATGCCACAAGATTATCTTTCGAATCAAAAATTCATGTCGATCGAATAATACATCGTTGTTTTATTGCAATTTAAAGTTCTATACCTCTAAAAACATCCTTTACTTATAAAACAGCAAAGTTTATTTGACTGCTTGTTTCGTGCTGTTTATTTATAAGGAAAAACACTTTTATTATTCTGAAAACACTGAACAAAACATATTGCACAATTCACATCGTTAATCTCTCTTGTTGACTACATTTTGATCTCCTTTTAAGGTTCTACTAAGAATGCCTAAAAATATAAAATTAAAAAACGTATTTTATCTTTCTACCTCGTACATTTTCATTAATTATTGCATTAATTTGTTATGGTATCTCCAGAAAGAATAGAAAAGAAGGAAATTATTTCAAATGATTTTGTTATTTAAATAAGAATCAACTTCACAAATTTCATCAGTTTTTTTAATGTTTTTTACGCAAAAATGGTAAACTATTAGTGCAGAATGTTTTATTTTTAAGACCAGATGTGACTTCATTTGCCACACCAAGAGTTAACTTTAGAAGAAATTCTGAATAATTTTCTCTTGATTTTAATTGATCATTTTGATTCCTTCTTTTAGCTTTGGGGTCTTCAATTTTTCACCATCGAGGGCCAAATTAAAAAATTTACAATGATTCGTGGTCTACATCAATAAATTCACAGTGATCCGCGGACCAAACGACTGTCAAAAAATATTGTAGGCAGGGAATTTGTATAAAAAAAGCAAGGTTTTTTGCAAGACTATAACTTTCAAGAAAGCAGATAGTGTTAACAGACTTGTGTACTATATACATCTTAGTTTCAAAAAAAAAAGTTAAAATAAAGTCGAAATGAAATACTTTGTAAACCTGTTAATGATAAGATTCCGCAGTTTTCCGAAATTTCTGAGATCTTATGCATAGTCAGATTTTTTTATATTAAAAAATGTTTAAGATACAGATAATTTTTTGAAAAATTCGTCATTTTCTGAAAATTTTATCTCAAATGGACATCAAACACATCAGTTATGTTTTAGATATCAAGAACAACAGAATGAATGCCGCCCTTCACGACAAAAAACAGGCAAGGATTTTTTTTTTGGAAATTGGCTCAAATTTAAATGAGGGGGCCATTTGAGGCCCGTGGGCAACGGGTCGAAGACCCCTATTTTAGCTAACTATACAATGCTTTTCAATTTTCGATAAATCATGTACGTCTGTTTGATTGTTCTTATATTTAAATCTTCTCAGACAATTTGTATAAAGTTATGTTAGTTAAAGTTTAAATCAAATGCTCATTACCCCCTAAATGAGCGTCATTGCTCTCCATGTCTTATTAAAACTGATAAATTTCTAAATCATTACGTACTTAAGGGCCTCCTCTTGCTCGCTTAATCCCCCTTCTTAGAAACTATTCCATCCTGTTTGAATTGCTTAGTTATTGCTTGCTCTTTCCGAAGTGTCCATTGTTTTAGACAATCGCATTAAATTGAACTCGAAAGATATCTATATTTAGATACACAAAAGTTTTTTTAATATTTGATGTATGAATTAGAGTAAAAATATATAACTAATAATAATTTTAAATAAAAATACTAATTATTTATTTTTGCATTTGGAAAATTGCTAATTTTTTAAATCAAGACATAAACTAAACATTTTATTTTTGCTTTTTCACGTGCTCTTTTTCAAAAATTTATTAATTACAGGGTTTTAATTAGTTTTCGTAATTACAAACATTTAATCACGTTTTCTGTCGTTGTTCACTTTTCCTCTGCTGTTTTTCACATACTGATAAACTCTGATGTAAAATGTTTCCGAACGCTAAACACAAATAAGTCAAATTTAAGACATGTAAGAGTCATGTGTTTAATAGTATTAAAATATTTTGAATAAATATATATCATGTTCTGTTAAGGTATCCGACTACGTTCGGAAACGTGATTTTAAAAAAGCGCATAAATGGATAATTTTCATAATATTTAGTGTCACTCAGATTAGAATACATGCATAAAATTGTTTTAAGGACATTTTGACAAAACAAATGTATTTAAATATAATATTTTGGTAAAAAATTAACTTAGAATAATATTATTTTCTCCAAATGTTCTTCTTTTGGGAATAATGGTTCTATTATAACAATATTTTGCCTGTATATAGCTCACATCTCTCTACAGAGGCTCAACTAGAATTTTTGAAAAATTCACATTATCTTTAGAGTTACCACCAATTGAAATAACTATTCGCGTTTTTTTCTTAAAATTGCTCCCCTCCGTTGTCGTAAAATATGAATAAACCCACTTCTAAGTTATGTATTTCAAAAGCTCTAGTTGAGCCTCTGAACAGAGGTC